TAAAATAGATATTAATTCTGTAGATGTTCTCAATAAATCACTGCTATTAATTCAGTTCAGTTCAGTTCAATTTTATTTGTATAGCGCAGTTTACAACACGTTATCACACAGCGCTTAACAGTAAGGTAAAGACCTTACAAATTAATTCAGGTTATCAGTAAGAAAAAAAAGTGTCATCTGTCTCATCCAGGATAATTTATATAAGCTTGTTGTACTGCCTAAAACAGATGTATTTTGCAAATCTCAAAAAGTGCTTCACCTGGAAAGCATCACTTGGGATGGTTCTAAAGAATGATGGAAACCGCTGCCGATTGCTTAGGCAGGAGCAAGTGGCAAAATAACTCACCTATAAAGAAATGTAGAGTCAGACCCAGTCAGAACTGTTTCATATTTCAAAAACACATCACTTTTGAGTGTGACTAAGTGAAAAATACAATAATACAAAATATATAGGAAACTCACAATAGGCATTCTGAATAAACCCAGCACATTGGATGTGGCAATTGTGAATGTTGAGAAGGAGTCACCCACTATCCCCAGGACTGGAGGTGTCCCTAAACACTTCTCCTGAACTGGAAACTGCTCCTCTTGACCACTTGCCAGTGATAAGGCACCACTGAGCCCAATGACAAGTGCACCACAGTTATCATACAGACTGTATCCCAGAGTCACATTAGAGAGCAGGTTGGAGTTCTTGTTGATTTCATCAATAGCAAAAGCCATGGTCATTGCTTGCCTGAACCCTAGAATATCAAAACTAACACACAAAATGCCAAAATGATCACATGTAGTAATATTGTATCACACAATATACATATTCAGCTACATTTCAATATTTCAAAGGTTATTGCTAAAACATTCACAATCAGTATATAATAGTTGTTGCTGTTTCTGAATGCCCTGAACAGGCAGCATCGTTTGCACAGAATCATGCTGTGTGATGCTTGAGTCAGACACTCACCCTTTGCAGCGGGGCTCTTCTGCCTCTGAGGAAAACGTCAGTTCAGGAAAAATGGAGGTGAAGTGGACTTCAAACAGCCCACCCAGAACCACATCACCGGGCTTGTGCAGTTCATTGAGATAAAACTTTCTCCGTAATTTACAAAATGAGGCAAGAGAACAAGGCACAGAGCAGACAAAAGAGACACTCAAAAGAAAATAAAGTAAA